CAGGGTCCTGGGATCGTGACCTGAGCCAAAGGCTGACACTTAACTGACTGAACCCCCCAGGCACCCAGTGTTCTTTTACATTCTTTCGAAGAACACCCTTCAGCATTTTTTGTAAAGCAGGTGTGGTAATGAACTCCCTCAGCTTTTGTTTGTCAGCAAATTCTTTTTCCTTACTTTGCTTCCAAAGGATAGCTTCACCAAGTGTAGAATTCTTGGTTGACAGTTATTTTCTTTCAATATTTTGAATATGTCATCACATTCTCTCCTGGCCTGAAAAATTTCTGTTGAGAAATCTGCTAATAGTCTTTTGGTGGTTCCTTTGTATGTAACTTCTCTCTTTTCTCTTGATGCTCTTAAAATTTTTTCATTGTCTTTGACTTTTGACAATTTTAATTAAATTACTGTGTCTCAGTGTAGCCCTATTTAAGTTTAACCTCTTTAGAATCTTTTGGGCCTCATGGATCTGGATGTCCATATCTCTCCCCAGGTTCAGGAATTTTTCAGCCATACTATTTTACATATACTTTCTGTCCCTTTTTCTTTCTCTTTTTTTCTGGCATTTTCATAATGTGCATATTGTTTCTTTTTATTCTATTCTATAATTTATGTAGGCTTTCTTCACTCTTTTTCATTATTTTTTTCTTTTTCCTTCTCTGACTGGTAATTTTCAATGTCTTATCCTTTAGGTGAGTGATTTTTTTTTCTTTTTTTGCATGGTCAAGTCTCCTTTAAAACTCCCTGTTGAGTTATTCTGCTCAGTTATTGTATTTTTCAACTCTAAAATTTGTATTTAATTCCTTTCGGTGGTAGCTATTTCCTTATCAAACTCATTTTGTTCATGCATTGTTTTTCGAATTTTATTTAGTTGTGTGTCTGTATTTTCTTGTAATTCACTAGATTTCTTTAGATGATTATTATGAACTCTTTGTTTGACAGTTCTTAGATCTCCATTTATTTAGGGTCAGTTATTGGAACTTTATTAATTTCCTTTGGTGATGTCATATTTATCTGATTTTTTGTGTGTGTGATCTGTGTATCCTTATTAATTCTATCTGGTTATTTGAATAATTGGGCTCCTCTTCTAGACTTTACAAGTTTTCTGTGGTAGAGACAGCTCTTCAACAGTCAGCTCAGTTCGGGTTTCTGGGTATGTCTTCTGGTAATGTCCTTGGGCAGGTGGGGCCTGCTATTATGCTCTATTTTGGAGCAAGCTCTGAAGGGAGTGTGTGGGGTGAGTGCCACTGGCTGAAAACAGTTGGATAATATTATGGGCTTGGTTCCCTACCCAACTGAAGCTGTAGGATGAGCTCTATGCTTGCCTGGATTCTCTGGTGAGGCTTACTAGATGGCCAGGACTGGGTTTAATATTAGGTAGTGGGTAGAGCTATGAATTGACTTCCCTGACTTGGCAGGGCAGTTAGGATGGGACTCAGGACCTTTATAATTTATTTTGGGGACCTGAATCAAGCCAAAGTGTGCACTGAATTCCCTGGTCCAGTGAGATAACTGGTTGTGCTCTACAGATAGGGGAAGCCACAGGCTGTTCTCTCTGTTCAAGTGCCACTGTATGTAGGACTCTTGAATGAGCTATGCAGCTTCCCACATGCTCTGGTTAGGTTCCTTGGTTGGACAGACTGAAAATTGTATTCAGAGATAAGTGGGGTTACAAATTAGATTCTGTGCCCAGGAGCAGTGGGAGAAGCAGCTCTAAAGCCATAAAGCTTTTTATTTGTTGTCTTTACTCAAGACAACCCCCACCCCAAGTTTCCTGAATAAACATGGCCACTAGGTTTGTTCTGCAAACTGATTGGCTCTGCCTGCCCACCTCTCAGCTGAAGTGCCACAGGGCCACACAGCTTCCTGGAATTGCCAGCCATTCAGGTTGGATGGAGCTGGAAGACACTCTCTACGGTATATCTCAGCTCCCTTGCCTAGGCAGTAGGGGAGGGGCTGCTCTAGGCTACTCTCCATTTCCCAAAGAGGTTCTCTGGTTGAGAGGAATGGGAGCTAACTTCAATCTTCTCTGTGAATTAATCCCCTTGTCTGTGTCTAGCATGGGAACACTTTATACTGGCTTTGCGGGTGATCCGCTCTGTCTGCCTGACTCTTAGCTTGAGTACCAGAAGTCTGCAAAGCTTCCAGGAGTTGTCATCAGAAGATATTCTTGGCTCCCTTGCCTAGGCAGGAGGAGAAGGTGCCACTGCAGGGTAGCCTCAATTTCTCAAACAGGCTTTCTGGTTGAGAAGGGCTGGGAACTACTCTCTCTTAATTTAATGACCTTGTTTACTTGAGAAACACCCATTAAGTAGGGTGATGATGTCATTCCCTCAGTTGTTCTTCTCTGCAGCTCTTCCTGTCATTGCCAGTGCCTTTACCAGCTAACTTCTCTTCTTGCTCCCCTGAACGGTTTTGTGCCTTAAGGTTCAGCCTTCAGTCATCCCTTTTTCTCACTACATGCACTTGCTTTCAGTGACTTCATGTATCTCTTTGACTTCAACTATTAGCCAATGATTTACAAAAATATACTTTTATAGCCTTAATATCTCTCCTGAAATCTAGACTTATGTGTTCAACTGTTTTCTTAATATTTTAAGACATTTCAAAAACAAAACAGTTAGAACTAAACTCATCATCCTTGACTAAAATCCCTCCTTCTTTATACTCCAGATAGTTTAGTGGTCCATAATTTACTGCTTTTTACCTGAAGTTCCTGTCTCTCATCATCTCAATTCTAAATTATATCTAATTCCATTACTAAGGCTAGGTAATTCCATTTAATAAATAGCCCTTTACCCTATTTAATAATTTTCTTTGGAATCCAGATTCTCTTCTCCAGTCATCTGTTTTTATTTTGACCTAGATTCTCTTTATTATTTTATTTTCCTAGAATATTAAAATAACTTCCAAACAAGTTAGTTTCCTTATTAAGTTTCCACCTTCTAGTACATTCTCTACTTCTACAACCAGTAAACTTTCTAAAAATCAAATATAATCATGTCACTCTCTTACAATAGGTATATTTAATGTGGCTTCTTTCTGCACTAAGAATTAAGTTTAGTCTCTCTAGCTGACTTTTATAAAATATATCTGTGGGAAAAAATAATAAAATAAAATAAATTGGTCATATGTAAAAATTTAAATCTATTCTTGTGCATGATCTCCAAACCAAAAAATTTCCAAATAGACACAGAAAAGGAACTATTGTACTTAACCATAACGATAGGTAAATGCTATATTTACCACCTAGAAAATGTAGTGGTTTTCTAGAGCTTTTCTAGTAATATAACTGATTCTTTCTGAGGAATGTCTTTTGTTAATAGGTGTCAAATATGAAATTTGTCCTCAAATGCAACAAAGGTAGAATGAAAGTGAATAAAATCATAACAGTTGTCCTATGAGCCATGTCTTATGTATTTGGCTTCATTCTCTGTGAAATTGAATTTATTTTTCAGTTTTGAGTGGGTGAGATATGCCTATAATGGGACCATGTTAGTGTTTGTAGGCATCTTCAGTCCTCTCCATCCACCCAAAAATGCACACTCACTCACACAGAGAGTTGACATTTATTTTGTTAATTATTCACCATAGTGTGCTGAGCTGTTGTTTTGCTAGGATTTACCCATATTGCCTTATTTAGATCTCCTTTTCAATTTTTAAGATAACTGATCAAGATTAGGGGTTGGGTTTTTGGTGAAGAAATATAAGGAAGTTAACAAAGTCCTTGTGTCCAAGTCCCACATTCACGGCAGTCTTCCATAGATATTATCCCACTAATGCTAATGAATTTGTCATAGAATGTGGTTCCATGAATATGTGTCTGTCCTTATCAGAAGAGACTTCTAAGTTTAAACAGTTAAAAAAATAGAAAGCATTATCTTAACTCACAATGTAATTTTCAAATTGATGGATTTGTTCTAATTGATAGCACAATGGCCTTTACCCCAGGCTTTTATTCTTGGTTGTATCCTGAGTAGCCAATGTGTATTTATCTGCAACTTTATTATAATATTTTCTAAAGATTCAAGATGCTTTCTGGATTTAATTTTTGCTAGATGATCTTTAAAAACCCGAGCAGAATTACAAATGAAGCTGCTTTGTTAAAACAACAAAGACTAAAGCGGTGGATTAGTGAAGTTGCATTATTCCAAATCAAACTTGATTGTCACTATCTCTTTAAACAACATTGGGCAGACATTTAAAGATTTTTTATACATTTTAATTCAGGTGGTAACTTGACTTAAAACAACACATTCTTGGTCATATATAACAGGCTAAATATCAAAATGAATTTGAAACTATTGAGACTGTCTGCATATGATATTAAATTCTTGGAGAGGCTTTCTCTCCCCCATGCTGATTTTCATCATTTTACTGTTACTTTCATTTCCCCTTGAGCTTTAGCTTTTTAGAATTATTATTCATTCTTTTCACCATATACCCTGATCATTAACCAATTAAAACTTTATCAGGCATAGAAGCAAGACACTCTATGGATAATGATGAGGTTGGAAACTCTCTTGTACAACTTGTTGGCTCATATTGGAAGAAGACTGTCATGCCAAATTATCTTTACGTGCTCATGAATAATGTTCTAACAAGGGTGGATGGAGAGATGAGCATAAAGTGTAGTTCTAACAGAAGGAATAATAGTAATATTCACCTTGGCAAAACATGCTAATGCCTTGACAAGATGCTATCTGCTCTTGCTGTTAAATTAGGTGCATATTAAGTTAGCAGACCTATTGCTATCTACTATTTTACAGAATGAACTAGAAGAGAAAGAATACACCTTTCAGGATCTACAAGTCCCTCATATGACCAAAAATAATTGCATAGAGAATACCCATTTAACTTAGAGTTTTATGGCACATTAATTGGATGGATTGATCTTGAAAATAAAAGTGAGTCAGGCAGGAAGGAAACTGTAGTTTCTACCAACCTTTAATTCTTTATACTGAACTCTGAAATAACTGAGATTTTTGCTGTCGCTATTTCCTAAATGCAGAATTTCAGAGTGGGATTTTGATCTTTAATGTGAAGATACGTCTATATTAAACCAGGAATCATCATCAGTAACATTTAGACACGAAAATTTGGAAGATTAAACAAGTGTGAAGGTTGATCATGGAAATCAAAGAGGAAGGAGCATCAGAAGAAGGCCAGCACTTTCTTCCCACACCCCAGGCAAATGATACTGGGGACTTCCAGTTCACAAGTAAGTATGTGTTCCCCTTTCTGTAACTCTCTTCTAGAGTTTAGGTTTTATTTTTTAGCATGACTTGCGACTTTTCTTTTCAGAGGATTCCTGTTGGCCATTTATTTAACACTGCCAAACATATGCCAAACCTTTCATTTAATTTACATTATAAAAATAATCTTTAGAAAACAGTATTGGTTGGAAAAGTTTTCTAAGAAATTTGGTTTTTCAAAGCTTACAGCAGTTGTTAATAACTTTAAAAAAAATCTACACTCTTTGAAATGAACAGAAAGCTGCCTAATGATTGTCACTCTCGTCTGTCTTGGAAAGTCTAAAATTTTTAACCATAGTATTGTTAAAAGTCAGCAGGAGAAAAAAATAAATGGTTACCATGCAAAAAAGTGTTAACTCTGGGGATGGCTGGGTGGCTCAGTCAGTTAAGCATCTGCCTTTGGCTCAGGTCATGATCCCAGGGTCCTGGGATTGAGCCCAGAGCCCCACATTGTGGCGGGGAGTCCCTGCTCAGCGGGGAGTCTGCTTCTCCTTCTGCCTGCCACTCTTCCCATTTGTGTGCGCTCTCTCTCTCTCTCTCCCTGACAAATAAATAAAATCTTTTTTAAAAAAAAGTGTTAACCTTGTAAAAAAAAAATAGATGGCTTTTATACAAAGAGGTGGTTCTAACAATATATTAGTAGTAAATTTAAATCGTATTTGGTAAATGTACCAATAGAAATAAACAAGAAAATTATTTTTGTAATGTTCTTACATTTATTACCACCAAATGGTTGACTTTTACATAAATTTTAGTTTTGCTTGTTTGGCCACCCATAAGTTATAATAAGTGGCATCTAAGTTCTCATCCACTTTTGTTTAAGAAGACTCCAAGCTGTGTGTGGCCATCAGATATCCACATTACCACATTATAGCACATCATCACTTGCCACAGCCTGATCTTGCTACCTTCTAACCACTACATGTTCCCACCCTTACTTTTGTTCTCAAACCTTCCCTCCTCTTCACTCTAAATCATTTAGCCATGTTATTAGATTTCTTAAAAATCAAGAAAAAAAGGAATAAAAACATTTATCAGAACAATGATTTGAGCTATCAATAAGTTGGCAGAATAACCACCACCATAATGTCTTTCATCACCATATTAGAGATAGCTCTTTAATTAATAATTTACTATTTACAGCAGGCTGGAGTGGTTTGAAAGAAAAGTCTATATAAGAGAGTACTTTTGTGAGGTCATCTTTTTTAAGGTTTTGCTGCTGTCTACATGTATTTAAGAGAAACTAACAATTGAAAAATACGTTTTAAATTTGTCAAAGCTGCAAAAAACAGTATCTTTTCAGTTTCTTTATAACCATAGAGCTAAGTAGATCAGTCAAAACTTCAGTCACATTTAGTTCTGCTACAAATATTATGAGAACCGATAGCTTATAAATTTGGACAATTAGCTAAGTTAATTCTTTCTGCCAAATAATGTATTTATAAATTCTGGGCAGGGTGAAACATAGTAATATATATTGACATATTTTTGATTATGAGTTAAATATCTTTAATCTGAATTTTTACTCACTATTTATAGGTATTCAGAAGACTCCAAATGAACCACAGTTGGAATTCATCCTTGGTAAGGAATTCCATCTTATTTATACTGATAAAAAGAATAGTAATCTGTATATATAGTTTACAACCTTACGTTGCTTATATCATTATATCACTGCTTATATCATTATATAATTTACAAACTTTTAAGAACATTGTTCTATAAAAAACCTTTCATTCTTTACGGTGTTACTTTGAGGTGAGGGGCAGGATGGGTAAAATAGATAAAGAAGATTAAGAGTACACTTATTATGATGAGCACTGAGAAATGTTATGAAATTATTGGATCATTATATTGTATACTTGAAACTAACAACACTGTGTTCATTATACTTCAGTTTAAAAAAATAGCTGAAGGGAAAAAAATCATTCTATGTGATGTCACTTCCCCCAATTTGTAAGTAAAGAATTTGAGCTGTAGAGTAGGTCAATTCACTACCCAGGGGTATAGGGTTCAGTGGTGACAGAGTTGTGCCTCTCAGTCGGGTCAACTGACTGCAGATCTGGTGTCCAGCACTCATCCTAATACAGTGACTGGGCTTTGCTGCTAATCAACGTTTCTCAAAATCTATGTGTTTATCTTCTCCTTGAGCTGGAGACTAGGCTTATATAGTTTTTCTTTAGGCCATTTACAAGGTTCCTGCCTCTTTTTTTCAACGTCACACACTCAAAAATCCCCTTTTTCTTCCATGTTGATTTTGTGGACAGATCTTAGTATTTGAGAATTTAACTATAATTCAACACTTTGACTTTCTTAAGCAACTTTGAAGATCTGTCACATGTAGAAATTTGTAACTTGGTCCAAGGATGAGTTAAAAATGTGCACTCTGTGGCTGATCCACTGCTTAGCTAGTGAGTGGGACCTGATTTGTGTCTGAATTTGGTATGACTGCAAAATGTCATTAGGGAATTAGCTGCAAAATGGTATTTAAAGAGGGTAAAAATATGGTTCATATGAACCATTTAGAGAGGGTTTTTTTCTTCTTATGGTTCTAAAATGTTTTGAAAGCAATGAGGTTTTATAGAATCATACATACATGTATTCAATTTCCTATATAGAGACCGGATATCTAAATCTTTAAATGTGAATATACATGTTTTATAAAGTTATGGGCAAATTGAAATATGTGCATTTACTATCTATAGTAGTTTTTAGTGGTTTGAATTCTCAATATTTCCAAGAATATACATTTTTATTATATAATGAAATAGATTTCAAACTTACATCCTTTGCTCAAAATATTACATTTTAATGTGTAACTTATTGAGATAATAACTATATATAATTTTTTTGTTTTGTTTGTTTCTTCTAATACAGTTTATTTCTAGAGCAATTTTAGGTTCACAGCACAATTGAACAGAAAGTACAGAGATTTTCCATATGCCCTCTGGCCCCATAAATGCATAGCTTCCCCTATCAGAGTGGTACATTTGTTACACTTAAAGAACTTACATTGACACATCATTATTATTCTAAGTCCATAGTTTACATTTGGGTTCATCTTAGTGTTGTTCATTCTATGGATTTGGATAATGTATAATGGCATATATCTATCATTAAAGTATCATGCAGAGTATCTTCATTGCCCTAAAAGTCCTGTGTGCTTAGTCTATTCATCCCTCTCTCCCCTAACCCTTGGCAACTACTGATATTTTTTTCACTCTCTCCCTAGTTTTGTCTTTTCCAGAATGTCATATACTTGGAATCATACAGTATGTCACCCTTTCAGATTGGCCTCTTTCACTTAGTAATGTGCATTTAAGTTTCCTCTATGTCTTTTCATGGTTTGATAGCTTATTTCTTTTTAGCACTGAATAATATTCCAGTGGTTGGATGTAGCGCAGTCTATTTGTCCACTCATCTACTTAGGGATATCTTGGTTACATCCAAATTTTGGTAATTATGAATAAAGCTGTTTGCAAGTTTTTGTATAGGCATAAGTTTTCAACATCCTTGGGTAAATACCAGGGAGCACATTGTTATATGGTAAGAGTATGCTTAGTTTTGTAAGAAATTCCCAAATTGTCTTGCAAAGTGCCTGTACCATTGTGCATTCCCACCAGCAATGCATGAGAGTTTCTGTTACTCCACATCCTCACCAGCACTTAGTGTTGTCAGTGTTCTGGATTTTGGTATAATTCATTTTTTAAAAACATTTTATTATTGTTACAAATGTAGCTAAAACGTGTTGTAAGTTAAGGGTTCTAGATTTTTTTATTTTCCCTGGTATGAAGAAACAGAAATGTGGAAACTCAAGAAACTTCTGTGGGAACACCAAAAAACTATACTTTTTTTTCTAGAGAGTTCTCAGATAGTATCAGATATAGAAAGAACTTGTTTGAGAAAGGGAGCTGAGTAGCAAAAGAAGTCTAGGTACCTCTTGACTCACTGTAACTCTTGCTACTTGAGCCTTTATCTATTCATCTTTCATTTTTAAGGGAAAAAAAAAATTTTTTTTACTTTTTTATTAGGATTTCAAAGAGTAAAGATTTGTTAGAGTAACTTAGTGTTACCCTAAAGCCTTCTTATTTGCATCCTGGAGAACAAGGTGAAATCTGAAGGAGGCAAAGACAATTGGAGGAGAGGCTGTTAGTCAAACATGGAGGCCAGCTTTCAAGAGACAGAGTGCCTAGGCCAAATACATATCTTCTTTTTCAAATGAAGTTATCTGTCTTGTTCAAAGACCTAGCTATATTATTTTGTTTTGAAAGCCCAAATTCAGTAGCAATGTTGTCATTATTTATATTTCTGGCTTTAAATCATAGATCTAAGAGGTGAGCAGCTGTGACAATTTATTCATAATAATATTCCTCCCATAAAAAACTTCAGTTTTCTTTTTTCATATTTATTCAAAAAAACCACTAGAATTCTTAACAACAGATAATTTTATTTTATCATGTGGCAAAAAATGCCTTACAAGTAAACAAAGTTATTTAGAGTCGTCAGGAAATTGTGTTGTTTGTCCTGGAAGATATACTCCCCAAACTGTTTGTTATGCTTCTGAGCATTTTTAAAATCCTCAATTGTAGTATTTCTTAAAAAAAAAAAAAAAAAGCCTTTTGAAACTACTCCTTCAAGGATATTACAATTAAACCCATGTAGGTTTTACTGTATATTTTTTGGTACTTTTTTCTTTGAGGTTTTTAATCCCACAAATTCTTTAAGACTTCACCTGCTAACTAGCTAACTTCATAATAATGAGAGAATAATAGTTTCCTAAATATTTTTATCATTATTTAAAAATGCATATTTATTTAATCAAAAAAAACAAGGCATCTTAATACAAAAAAAAATTTTAAAGAATTAAAGTAGGAGGCTCTTGGTCCACCTAATTTTTCAACTAAATTTTTATTTGATTCCTGATTCTTTGCCAAAATATTCAAATAAATTGAGAATCTCAATGGTTTGTTTTAAATTGGGAAAATAGCTATGCTAATTTTGCTAGGTGTCATATTGCTTTGTATAAGTTATTTCCCATTGAGGATTTGTTTCTGCTTTGTCTGTATGCCATTATAAAATCAGTATATCTTGCTGAAGTTCCTCTGCTACATCTTTATTCAAGTAAATGAGGTAGGAGATGCTTAGTCAATTGAGCAAGCTAATTGGTTTAAAAATGTCTTGATAACACAAGTTCAGCATTTACCGAAAAAGTATCTCAGGTCCATTGCCATTATATTTCTAGTGGTTTACTGAATTTAAATTATGTAACTCACCCTTACATCTGCAACCCTGCTTCCACATTTTTTCATTATTTCATTTGAATGTGTTGATACCCTTTTTATGTCCACAAAGAGAGAAATAATTGAAAACCCAAGAGAACACAGATTTTCTTACAGTTTAATAAAATTGTTTTTATTTTAAAAAAATAAGCATTTAAAAACAGAGATCATGGGGTACCTGGGCGGCTCACTCGATTAAGCAACAGACTCTTGATTTAGGCTCAGGTCAAGAGCTCAGGGTCCTGGGATGGAGCCCTGCCTCAGGCTCCCTGCTCAGCAGGGGAGTCTGTTGTTCTCCCTCTCCACCCCTCCTCCTCCCTCCCCCTGCTTTCGCTTGCCTATGTGCTCGCGTGTGCTCTCTCTTTCTCTCTCTGTCTCTCTCTCTCTCTCTCCCTGAAAGAAAAAGAAAGAAAGAAAGAAAGAAAGAAAGAAAGAAAGAAAGAAAGAAAGAAAGAAAGAAAGAAAGAAAGAAAGAAATCACTTCTTAAAATCTGGGTGCATTTCCTTTGACCTTGTGGGAAATATATAGAGAAGACTAATCTTGACAAAGATATAAAAGAACTATTAACTATGTCTTAAGTTTATCCTGTCATTTATGCTTATAATGTTTACTTTTATATATCTCCATTTACTAGCTCCAAAGTCAATAGTGTACTTATGAGTGTGTTTTCATATTTTTATGTGAATACTACATATCATAAATCCAAAACAATAGGCACTAATGTATATTAAAATAGATAGGAGAGATGGCTTATGTGTGTGTGTGTGTGTGTGTGCATGTGGTTCTTGTGTTCTTTATTTGACACTGTGAAGTTAGATTCTTAAAATAATTTATACCTTGATGGCTAATAACCTAATCGAAGTCAATGACCAGATATAGGATGCATCGAAAGACACATTTTAGATGTCAACAGCCTCAGTGTCATTTATGATAGGAATGTAAAGACATGGATGCTGGAGTGAAATCTCTAACAGTACAAATCATTCATTCATACAAATTGTATTGGGAACATAGAAAACTTGTAAGTAAATAATTTCAGGTAGTGTTAAGTTCTATGTAGAGAGTAAACAGAACAATTGTATAGAACATGTTTGGGGGAGAGGTAATTGACTTGGGAGATGGAGAGACTATTTTAGATATAGAGGTCAAAGAAGGCCTCTGTGTATCCGGCAGGACTTAGGATGTCGACACTTATTTGGAAAGTGTCCATACTGAACATAAGACCCAGGTGACTTTCTCAGCAGGAGGTACTGGCTGTAGTAAATATTTATGCAGCAGGTAATAGGGTTTTAGGAATGGGAATA